GTCCCCAACTGTCACCCCCATCCCCAACTATCACCACTGTCCCCCCACCCCCAACCATCACTGCTGTGCCCCCCCATCCCCATGGTGCCCAATTGTCCCCAACCATCTCTGCTGTCCCCACCCTGTCCCCAGCCATCCAGGTGGTGCCCAGCTATCCCTCCCTGTTGTGCCCCACTGTCCCTAACCATGGCTGCTATGCCCATCCCTATGGTGCTCAACCATCCTCAACTGTCTCCATTGTGCCCAGCTGTCCCCAACCACCCCTGTGATGCCCAACTGTCCCCAACCATCCCAACTATCCCCAACCATCCCCACCATGCCCATCCCTGTTGTTCTCCACTGTCCCCACCATCCTCAACCATCCCGGCTGTCCCCAGCCACCCCAACTGTCCCCAACCATCCCTGTCATGCCCATCCCCGTTGTTCCCCACTGTCCCCAGCCACCCCAACTGTCCCCAACCATCCCTGTCATGCCCATCCCCGTTGTTCCCCACTGTCCCCAACCATCCTGGCTGTCCCCAACTGTCCCTGCCCCACCTACCCCCAGGCTGGGCAGCACCTGGGGTAGTGAAAATCAGACACCAACCTCAGCTCCCAGCCCCACACCATGAAGCAAGACCATGGGTTACCAGTCGCAAGGACTTTCTGGGACGGGGAGGAGACACTGCAGCACCTATTGCATCATCTGCGAGCTCAGAACTGCCAAGACAGCAAAAATCTTGCCCAATAAACAACGAAAAAGGAGAACCAAGGGACTGAGGTCTTACTCAAGGCTTGAGGGAGCTTCAATATTTATTGGCGACATTGGACACAGCTACAGTAAAGGGCAACCTGCCCCCCCATCAATGGGGTGGACTTGAGTTTTTGGGGTGACAGAGGGGGAGTTTAACACATGGGTGGGTTCACCTGCATCTTGGACCTCACTAGGTGGTGGAGATGGGGGCTGGGAGGGGGATCATGGGGCAGCACAGATCTTATGGGGATGAGAGAGGGGAAAATAGGGTCCACGCTTGGGTTGGAGAAACAGGAGAAGTGGGTATCGCGGGCAAAGACAACGTCCTCTTGCTGCTGGCAAGCTGCCGAGGAAACCAGGAGGGCCCCAGGGCTAGGTGGGCACACAATTCCCCAGCCTGCAATCACACGGGGCAACTGGTGGGGAAAGGGGACGATGAAGGCATCTTCTCTCTACAGGGCCCGGGGGGACCCCTAGGAGAGGAGTGATGTTCCAGCCCTAGAGCTACCTCATTCCTGGTCAGACATTGGTGCTGACGCTGTGGTCATCCATGGTGGACTTGGTCTTCATCCTGCTGTCCCCCATGGTGCTGGTGGGGTCATCACTCAGCACACCCCGCAGCACAGCTCTCCAGGAACGCTGGAACTTGTCCTTGAAGTCCTGGCCCATGACGACGTAGATGATGGGGTTGATGCAGCTGTTGATGTAGGCAATGCCGGTCACGATGGGGTCAGCTGTCAGGGCACCCTTGAACAAGTCGCTGTGAGGAGGGGTGGAGGCCAGGATCAAGCCCACAACATGGTAGGGCAGCCAGCACACAAAGAAGCTGATGATGACCACCAAGATGAGCTTGATGGCTTTCTGGGAGCGAGCAAAGCCCTTGCTGTGGACACGGGCCAGCAGCAAGGTATAGCAAGCCGTAATCACCACAAAGGGCACCAGGAAGCCGCAAATGAAGCGGGTGACAGCCGTAACGAGCTCGGTGACTTGCTGGTGATGCCCCACGGCCGCATAGTCCAGGACGCAGGTGGTCTTGTCGGAGAAGTCGTCCAAACGGGTGGTGCGGAAGATGAAGGAGGGAAGGGTGAGGAGCCCTGCCAGGAACCAGGCGGCTGCGCAAGTGCCCCGGACCAGCCCCAGTGTCCGGTGGTTTTGGCACCATACCGGCTGTGTCACCAGGGCACAACGGTCGGCACTGATGGCCATCAGGAGGAGGACACTGGCGAACATGTTGAGGATGGTGAGGGAGGGCAGCAGCTTGCAGGCGAAGTGACCCAATGGCCAATGGTGGTCACGGGCCAGCGGCAGGGCCAGGAAGGGCAGAGCCAGGCAGCAGAGGAGGTCGGCCACAGAAAGGTTGAGGAACCAGACACCATTCACCGTGCGCCGCAGCTCAAAGCCGGTCACCCAGATGACAGCTCCGTTGCCCAAGACACCCAGGAGGAAGATGAGGGCGTAGAGGACGAGGATGGCGCGGTAGCTGTGAGGGACTTCATAGCCATCGAAATCATACATGGAATAGTCCCCGTTGGAGTAATTGAAGGTATAATTGAACATTGAGAAGTCCATCCTCCACCAGCTCCCAACCTAGAAACCACACTCCATTAGACCATCAGAGAATGGTTTGGATTGAAGGGACCTTCAAAGATCCTCTAGTCCACACCCCCTGCCATGGGCAAGGACATCTTCCACTGATCAAGTTGCTTGAAACCCCATCTGTAGCATCACGCAAGGGTTTGGGTTGAAGGGAGTTTCAAAGATGACCCCGTCTGACGCCCTGTCACGGGCAAGGACATCTTCTGCTAGATCAGGTTGCTCCAAGTCCCATCCAACCTGACCTTGAAGATGGGGCTTCCACAATTCCTCTGGGCAACCTGTTCCAGCATCTCACCACCCTCATCGTAAAACAACTCTTCCTTACAACCATCATCATTGCCATCATCTCTCCCCTCCATCCAACAGTCCTCTCCCCCCCAAGGGCAAAGAGGCAGCGCCACCAAAACCAGCCCAGAGAGATGCTCCTCAGTGAGAACGTGTGGTGCAAGCAGCCCAGACCACTTGGCTTCATGATCATGTGTCCCCCCGCCTCCACCCCGGTAACTGAGGAAATAGGCATTTCCCCACTTCCTCGCCGAGCTGTCCCCAGCTGCGTGGCGCAAGTTGGATGAGGAAACGCCGCGGGAGCTGCAGCTCCAGCAGCTTCTCCAGCTTCTACTGGGTGGGTGCCATGGGGGGATGATTTTGGTTTGGCTCTCAAGCCCCTGGGGGGGAAGGGGGCAGGGCAAGAAACCTCTCAGTGCCCAAAGCATTGCCAGCACCAAGAGGGGGTTGGAAAAAAACTTGAAGGAGAAAGAGGAAACCACAGGGAAGGTCTGGGATCCTCAGATAGCCAGTTGAGTGACCCAAAGCACGGGAAGAAGGGACAAGGAGGAGATGTGGCATCTCCAACCATCACCCAGTGCCTAAAGAGGAGCCGCAGCGACCTCACAGCACGCCCTCAGCAGGGAAAATCCATCCCATGAGCAGAAGGATGGAGATCACCCAAAGCTTGGCTCTGCCCCCCCCAGCACTGGATTTCGGTTTTTAAGCAAAGGGAGAGAGTCTCACAGATCACACGCCCCACCAGCTGCTCACCTGGGTCCTCACCAGCTGTGGCCGCACTCCGTGGGGATCAGCGGGCAGCGCCGGGTTTTTATACAGCAGCGAACAGGAAGCAATGTCAAGGGGGAAGAGATGGTTGGTGGAGGAAAAAAAAAAAAAAAAGAAGACGACAATGACGATGATGGGTGGGCTGGGAGGGGCAGCGGGGCCAGGAAAACTTCATCTCCGGGTATAATGAGGGGGAGATCACAGGCAGAGGCCCCTCTGTGGCAAAGCTGAGGAGGGCTAGCTGGCGGCAGCGAGTGGAGCTGGAAAACGAGACATCAACCCCAGAACAGTGGGGTTTTTTGAGGGGGATCTGGCTCATTTCAGCTCAAAGGTGATGCTGGGGAGAGCCCGGAGCACCCCTCGCCTATCTGCTGTGGCCAGGGAAAGCTGACGGGTCTCACGGGGAATCCCCCTGGTCTGGGGGACGTCACCAGCCACTGCCATGGAGCCACGGGACTTCTGCTTCTCTCCCAGCCAGGACCTGCTGTGCCCCGAGTGTCCCCACTGGTCCCCAGGGACAGCACAAGGTCCCAGGGCGGGGATTAGGGGAGAGCCCTCCTGCTCTTACACTCCTTTCACCCCAAAACCTCCTCCAGAGCCCCTACACTCCTCGTTTCACCCCCAAAAACCAGGACCCCCCCCCCAACAGGTAACAGGCACCATCAGCTTCCCAGCGCTGGCCAAAGCTTGGCAGCCCCTTCCTGCAGCTCTCGCATCCACTGGGCAGGCCCTTGCCAGTACCAGGACCGCCCCCCCGCCCCCTTCCCAGCCTTGAGAGGAAAGGGGGACCCCTATGAGCAAGGGGGGCACCCCAGCAGCAAAGCAGGGGGGTCCCCTGTGAGCAAGGACCAGGCACAGAGATGTTTTGGAAGTTTATTTTACAAAGAGCCGGTGGGATGAGGCAGCCCAAGGTGGGAGGGTGGGTCAAGCCCACTCCTCCTGCCCAGCCCCAGGACACAAAGAAGGGAAGAAGGGGACCCCAAAGTGCCCTGCCAGGGGCAGACACTTTGTGGGGAGCTGCTGGGAACTGGGGGTGCACAGCTGGAGCCCCCAAACCCTTTGGGGACCCTCAACACTGCCACTGGCGCTGGCATCCTCCGCTCCTAAAAGCCCACGACACCAGGCTCGACCCACCTACCCCGTGGGCACAGAAGGGATTTCAGCGAGCCCCACCACCAAAGGCCAAACCCCACCAAGGAGGTGCAGGCAGGTGATTTTCTTTTTTTTCCCCGCACCCCCCTCGCCTCTCCCTGGCTTATTCCTGCCGGCTCACAGTCTCTAGAAAGCTGTAGCGGTCACGGCGGGAGCGACCCGAGTGACGGAGGGGCTGCTCGAGGACATCGGGGCACTTGGCCGTCCTGTCGAAGGAGAGAGAGAAGAAGGAGGCAGCGTGAAGGCAGCTGCCGGCCCCAGAGCCAAGAAGAGCTCAGGGACAGAGGGGGATGGGGTTCACTCCCTGCCTGTACCCTCCTGCCAGCCCCCAAACACCAGGAGATGGGTGCAAGGGACATGTGGGGCAGCACAGCCCCACTGTCAGGTGCCCCACATTTGGGCGTGTCGCCCGATTCTGCCTGAGGCAGCGGCGGGGAGCAGGGGCCGGTGCTTTTCCCACCCCCTCAGTTCCGAACCCAGAGCCTTATCCTGGCTCTACAACCTCCCTCCTGGCTGTGGCTACAGGGAGAGACCAGTCCCTTGGGCAGTTTGGGGAAGGAAGAGTTTAATCCAGGACAGACAGACAGACAGACATACAGACGTCGCAGCCTCCCGGGCAAGCACAGCACCCGCCAGCCTCCACCACCCGACGCACTTCCCGGGCTTTGGAAGGAACCAGATCCCGAAACCAGAGATGCCGGGAGCAAAGCACGGCAACTCCGGGATGTTTTGCAGGTAGAGTCAGGCTGTCAGCGGGAGTGTCAGAGCCAGCAAACAGAAGTGGGAAGGACAGACAGACAAAACAAGAGCCCAGAGGGTGCGAGTGTCAGTCCCCTGTTAGTGGTCAGCCGGAGAAGGTGAATTCTTACGGAAACGCACCCGCTCAAAGTCCGTGATCTCCACCGTGCCGGGGGCCACCTCAACATCCGGCTGGCGGGGAAACACCATGTCTCCTGAAGGGGCAAAAAAAAAAAAAAAAAAAAAAAGAACAACACAAATTGGGGCCTGAACCCCACGGCTCACAGCACCCCCCCCAGCCTTGGGGGATTAGAACTGGGGAGGGTCCCCTGTGGTGTCCCCCCCCCATATTCCCCTCGCCACCTTGCGTTCTATCCTCCGCCGGGCTCCCTGACGCCTCCTCGTGCTTCCCTGAAGCCTCTTGCTCCATGTTCGGCCTCATTTCTTCCCCTTGGGGGGGCTCTGCAGGGCTCTGCACCCCCTGGGGGGGCCCAGCCAGCTCCACGGGGCTCAGTCCTGGGTGGGGGGCGGGAAGACACCAGTCAAGCCCCTGTTTGGCCCCTTCCCTTGTCCTGCTGCGCTGGCTACACGTCCCCCCCAAATCCCAAGGGTTCAGCCCAGGTTTGGCCTGCCTCCCATGTGTCCCCCCCAGCCCTAATTCAGGCAGATCCCCCCCACTTTTACCTGGAATCTCTCCGGAATCCCCTCTCGACTTGGGGGCAGTGGGACCTGAAAGGGGACTGTCCCCCAGACTGCTGCGGGGAGAGGCCAGATCCATCTCCTCGCCCCAGTCTGAGACGGGCTGGTGGCCTTCCATGGGGGAGAAGGGGCTCAGGGGGGTGCCAGCCCCCCCATCTGGGACGGGTGCCACAGTGGTGGGGGGCACGCGCAGTTTGGGAGCCACAGCCTGGCCAGCTCTGGGGGGACGCTGGGCTTTGGGGGACGCACTGCGGGGTGCTTCGTCCTCGCTCGATGATCCTGGGCTGGTGCTGCCACCTTCTTCCTCCTCCTCCTCCTCTTCTTCTTCTTCCTCCTCCTCACTGACGTCCTCCCACTGGTCCTCATCTTCCTCAGGGCTCAGGGGGCAGGGAGGCTCCGGGAGGGCCCCACTCGGCGCTTCTTCCGCCTACGGGCACGGAGTTGGGGAGTATCAGAGGGGGAGAAGGGCACCTCGGTGCAGCCAAACATCCACCGGTTCCCCTCGGGCTCTGCCACAGCGTTTTACCTTCCGGCTCTCAGCTTCCTCGGCTGGTACCGGCAGCTCCTTCTCCTCCCACCGGTTATCATGCATGCTGGAAGGAAAAAGAAGATCGCAGCGGCTCAGAAATCAAAAGCCATCGGAAAAGGGGGCTCGGAGAAGAGCCCCAACCCACCAAATCCTCATTGGGACGTGACCCCACTGACCTGTAGGGCTTGGTCCCGGTGCCCTGGCCACGTCCGCGGCCCTTTCTCCTCCGCTGGGTGCAATGCGGGGTGAGGAATTCCCCAAAAGTGAGAGGTTTGGGAGGAGGGTGCTTGTTTTCCTCCCCACCGCTTATTTCTGAGCCAGGCACTGCTGCAGAGCCCTCCTTGAACCTAAAAAAGAAAATAGGTGACTCCGGGGATACCACCCCCCCCCCCCCAAATCAACCCCCCAGGTCCCCAATTACGTACATGCTGTCTGATTTCTCGGCATCCCATTCCCGCCGCCACTGCCCAGTGGGTTTGCGGTGCCGCGCCAGGCGTTCCTGATCGATTTGTTCCCGTTCTTTCTTCCAGCGGACGTATTCAGCTCGCTCCCGACCCGTCATGGAGAGCGTCATGTCCAGTGGCCCCCCAGTTTTTGGGCTGGAACGGCGGCCCTGCAGCGAGACATGGCTCGAGCCCTGTCCCAGCCACTCAAACCCCACCCGGGACCCCAAAAGAACAAGGGGCAAGAGGTGGGGGGGACCCACCGGGGTACGTACGGGACCCTGCCAGGTCTTCTCACGCTCCATTCCTGCCTTGACCTTGTCGAAATCAGCTCCCCCCCAATTTCGGACATGTCGCCGGCTCCCCTCCTTACGATCAGTGTCCTGGAAGGGGCCACTGCGGCGGGGGTCGTCCAAGAAGTTACGTACAGGATTCTTCTCGTGAAGCCCGTCCTGAGTTGGCGGGGGGGGGGAATATTGTTACATCTGGGGGAGACACTCGCAACCGACTGCCCTCCCCCAAGTTCCCTTTCACTTCTCACCCGCTGGTTCCTCTCATACTCCGCGATCTTCTCCATCTCCTCGTTCATCTTCTCAATGTTCTGACGCCGTCGCTCTTCCCACTCCTGGCAAGGAGAAACCAGCTGCCACTGGGGACCGGTAACCTCCTGCTGCTGCACCCCAGGGTGGGGGGGGAACCCATCCAGCCCCCAAAACACCCACCTTGGACTTTCGGTCAGGACCGGCATCACCCCCCATCACTGCGCCGGCCATCCCCCGGCCCCGCAAGCGCCGGCCCCGTCTGCCGCGCTCCGGCAGGGTCACGCCATTCCCCCCGGCACCCTCCCAAAATGGCTCAGCGGGGGGGTCCCCCCGGAGGGAACGGCCAGAAGGACGCAAGCCGGCACGCCCTGAGCTGCGGGGAGTGGCGCCACGGCCAGGTTTCGGGGTGCCCAACAGCTTCTTGTCCTTCACCACGCGCTTCTCCTGGAGAGAAAGAAATGGGGGGGGGGGGGGTTCAGCGAGACATAATGGACCCCCACCTTGCCCTGAACCCCAACTCCCCCCACTCACCCCGGGGGAGAGCATAACCTGGACAGTGACGGAGAGATCCTTGTCCACCCATCTCCTCTCTGGCTCGGCATCAGCTGGCCTCACGCGGCGCAAAGCCGTCACTGCGATTCCCTCCTGCTCCGCTTTCTTCCGATCTTCCTCGATCTCCTGTTATCAGGACATGGGCCTGAGCCAGGACAAACCCCCCTCGCCGTGGATTTTGGGGAGATGAAAGACAGGACAAACATCTCTCCCTCTCCCCCCCTTCCACCCCAACTCCCTCCTGTGACCCCATATTACATTAAACTCCCTCCCCCGTGGATTCTGGGGAGATGAAGGACAGGACAAACCCCCCCCCCCCCCCCCCCAAACTCCCACCTGTGACCCCGTACTACGTTAAACCCCCCTCGCCGTGGATCTTGGGGAAATGAAAGACAGGACAAA